TAGAATCATAAGGGCCATTTGCACGCGCTGACAGGAGCCGCCCGCCTGTGTCTAGACAGCCAGGAGCCTTCCGGCCTCTGTCATCTCCTGGCTGTGGGGACTGTGGCTTTGTGTCCTCTGAAAGTTTAAAATGAACCGTTTATTTGGCTTGCCTCTTTCTTGGTTATTAGAGATGGGTGAGAGTTCAGGATGGCAGAGCACGGAGCTGCCTGCCTCACCGCAGGCCCTGTCCATCCTGGAAGTCCCTGACCGCTCCATGTCGTAGTAGAGCCTGGAGGACCCCAAGTAGAGACTGTGCACCATACCCTCCTAGTACACATAGAGCTTTGTGGTTTAACTTCTGGTTGATTAGATTGTGGAACAGTGGTTGTCACTCTGTACTTGAGAAAAGAAAAAGGAAACGTGTTTTAATCATGTAACAGCCAGGTGCTCTCACTTGGGCCCCATTGGTGGCTCTAATTATACCCCATCAAATGAACTTGGCCTTATAACGTGGAAGTAGTTCAGGGGAGCAACTGTCGATGACATGGGCCCAAAAGGTGTCCTGGGGCTTGTTGAAAATGGGGCTTTGCAGGAGAATCCTGGACCAGGCGTGCATTTCGGTCCTGAGGTGGAAGGAGCCATATCATGTCTTCCTCCAGTCTCTGTATGAGCTGCTAAGAAGGAGATCGCTCTTGGTTTTAAGGCTGTTTTGTAATTCGGCCGCTTCTGAAGGCCTCACTGTACCACGACCTTGCCCTGCCCCTGTGTCTGCAAGCTGGAAAGTGCTCACTGTACACATTTCACATTTTAGAATTCCCAGGCCAGGTGACACTCAAACCACAAATGCTTGTATTTATGAGACCTTTGAGTAACAGCCCTACGTGGGCCAGGATGTGGCCACAGGGGTGTCTCCGAATGGCCAGTCACATACTGGTTGTCAGGCTGGAGCCTTGTCTGGGGCTCTGTGCTCTGCAGACCTGTTCTATCCAAGGAAGTTGCCGCTCGCTGTGTGTTGGACTGTGACTCTCAGTGTGTTGTCTGCAGCTCTCTCATGCAGCCTGCAGTCCAGGGTTGACTCACCCTGTCTCCCAGCACTCCTGGACTGGGTTATCTCACAAGTCCTCCACATGTGCAGCCAGGCTCTAAGAAACCAGTGTCTGGTGCAGCCAGGACTCTTGCCTGCTCAGGACAAACTGATCTGTGTTCTGTGCAAATCTCTTCTGAGCTGTTGCCAATATTTTCAACGAAGGAGCTTTCTGCGGCAAGTCCGGTGCTGCTGCTTGTACTGGGGAGACATCTAGACGGAACAGGACTGCGTACCCTCCGGGATCTCTGCCGCATCCCCACAGTAGTAACACATGATGTGCTGTGTCCTAGCCGCGGTCTCTCAGCGAGTCTGACGTCTAGCTCCTTCAGTCCTGTCCACCCTGTTCCTGAGTTGGCTTGTAGGTTGAGAGTCACTCCCACCGGGCTCCTTGTTTTCCTCCTGCCTGGGAAATGTTCGTAGATGGATTCTTCCTGCCTGCTCTCCGGGTAGTCCACAGAGTCCGGCCTCTGCAGCCAGCTGCAGTCTACAGTCTAGTGTCTTTGCATTTTCTGCAGCTGAGAATGGTGTCCATGCTTTTTCTCACTCTGAACACATGATTGGTTTTTTTTTTTTTTTTGGGGGGGGGGGTTTTTTTTTTTTTTTTTTTTTTTTTGGTTTTTTTGAGACAGGGTTTCTATATATAGCTTTGCGCCTTTCCTCGATCTCCGTAGACCAAGCTGGCCTCGAACTCACAAAGATCAGCCTGCTTCTGCCTCCTGAGTGCTGGGATTAGAGGCGTGCGCCACCACCGCCCGGCTTTTTGTTTTGTTTTGTTTTTAAGACAATCACGCTCTTTAGCTCTGATTGTCATAGAACTCACTATGTAAACCAGTCTGGCCTCGGACTCCTAGACATCTGGCTGCCTCTCCCACCCTAGTGTTGAGATTAAAGGCCTGCACCACAGTGCCCAGCTTGAATACATTGTATTCTGTAGAAATTTGAGAGTTGGATGGGTTCCCCAGGACAACCCGAAAAGGAAGCTCCACCCAGTCCTGTCCCTTGGCTAAGCTGGAATTTCTTGGTAGCTGAAGAACATCTCTGTAAACTGTGGAGTGCTGTGAAATTGGTGGCTTACCTGCAGTATGTAATCTGACATTGCTCTCGAGGGAACCCCAGTCACAGGTGCCCACTGAGAATGCTAGGTTCCAGCCCTTACATTTGTGCTTCAGAAAGGGGGAACCAGCGGTCCCAGGCCATGGCTGAGATACTCAGGAGTTTCTGCTGTGGGATCAGGGTGCTCACTGTAGCTGGGAACTATGGAATTCACGGCCCAGGGTACGGGCAGGGACAGGAGGACTGCACTTCACTGTAGTACCACATGGCTCTGCCTGTGTGGCCAGTCTCATCTACAAGGGAGCCTTGTGTTCCTGGTTCTGCTACCTCTGGCCTGTGATTGGTGGAGAGCAAGAGAGTCAGTGCTCAGGGAGGCCAGGTGCTGGGCCAGTGCTTAGGCCACAGAAGGGGTCTTCAAGGTCCTGCTGGCCACAGCCAGGACATATGAACAGGAGATGAGGGGCTCAGCCCCCCTTACAACCTTGAAGGGCGGAGGTCAAGACAGGCATGTTGAAAGAGGTGGTCCTTGGACAGGTGGTCACTGTTCTTCAGGCCCACCTACTCTCACAGTGTGAGCTAATCCAACTGAGTAAGCCAACGGTGTCCTCCAAGGAGCAGTAGGATTTATTCATGATTCTCAACATTCCTGTTTTCCTTCCTGGTAATATTACTTTCATGGCATCAAAATAGATTAGCCTGGAACCAGCAAGATAAGATGGGTGAGCATGTAAAGACCCTAGCTGCCAAGCCTGCTGACCCAAGTTCAATCCCCGGGTCCCACATGGTGAAAGGAAAGGACTGATTCTTGCAAATTGTCCTCTGACCCTTCAGACGCATGGACAAGCTCATACACACAACATACATGGCCTCTCACCCTTCACACCCTCCCTCCCTCCCTCCCTCCCTCCTTCTCTTTCTCTCTCTCTCTCTCTCTCTCTCTCTCTCTCTCTCTCTCTCTCTCACTGTGGCATAATAAATATATACATAATAAATAAATAAATGAATGTTAAACATAAAAAGTCTTTTTTAAAAATGGATCCCTTTTCTTTCCGCTCCCCAGATAACTGTGAGGGCCTCTCCGCGTGCCTCCGGTCTGACCAGTTTCTCCTCTTTTCCTCTGTAGCCTCCACTGGTGGAAGGATAGATAATTAGGAGTGTGGGGCTGGCTCATGAAAGTGCCCACCAGCCTCCCAGAGGAGTCGTGTTAGCCATCTGCAGGCGCTTGCCTGAGCAGGAAGGGACATGGCCTTCTGAAGCCTGCAGCATCCCTAATCTTCCAGTGACATGGCAGTGACCCTCAGCCCTCTGTATTGTTGAAATTCCATCTGAAGTGGATGATGGGAAAATGTGAGCCCACTGGAGAACTTGGGTGCGGCTTTGTGTTGCTGGGTTAAGAATGGGAGCTGTCCATGTGGAGGGGACGTGAGGGCTTGAAGGATGTTGGTTTATTATTGTGTCCGTGGGGTGACTCACGGTTGCCTGGTTATTTGTTCCTCTCAGGGGAGCTTCTTTTGCTTTGGTGTGCAGCATAAACGTTTTCCTGTGTCAGTTTTTGCCACATGCTTTCTTTACATGATAAAATCTTACAGAGCAGTGGCCTTCCAAAGGTTCCTCTGTGGGTTGTTTGGATCTCCCAGTAACAGGTACTAATGGACCAGATTCCCTCGCTGGGATTTGAAGCTTGTTTATAAGTAAACACTGCTGTGTTCTCACAGTGTTGATTGACATGTGAGCTCCTTCCGGTCACTTGTGCAGGCTGGCCCGATTTTCTCCCACACGGAGGGAGATCCCTGGAGAAGAGCAGGATCAGGAAGGCAGGGCTGGGAGTGTGCCTCCACATCCCCAAGGGGTCACGATGTATTTGAGAACCTATAACTTGGTGCTTCGTCAGTCTGGCTGGGTTAGCTAGTGTTAGGTGCATGCCTTCTCAGCCATTTTATAATCTGGGCAGTTTCTTGATGGACGGACCGAAGGTCTCCTCACTGCACACGGACAGAATTAGAATGCACAGGAGTGGGCACAGCTGGCAGAAAGCTGCAGCTTGAGAAGCGGGGGATCCCAAGGCTGGAGTGTTGGCCTGACCCCACGCAGGATTGCCCATCCATTGTCCTCACCTAGGAAAGCCAGGGAACAGATGCAAGGGTTGCTGGGACTTGGCACTTAGACCAGGAACACATCCACAGCAGCCATCCAGGGAAGGCGAGGCCACATATGACTTCCAAAATATGTTAGTTTCCAATTCTGAAAGCTTTCCCAGAGACACTAATGGGACACCATTAAAAATCGATTGAGGTGAATTACAGCTCACCCACCCAATGTTGTTACTGAAGTTTGCAAATGGAATTTCAGTTTGAATAAATTAAAATCCTGTGAAGAAATTATAACAGGAAATCGTTGTGTTTGTAAAATTAAGGGGAGAAGATCATTGATCTTGGGGTCTGTCTTTAATATGTTACTCCTAGGGCCGGGGCCTGGGTTGGAGCTGGGGTTCATTGGTTGGGTACTTTCCTCGAATGTACAGTGGTTTTAATTTCCAGTGCCACAGAAACCAACAAGTAAAAAATAAAAGCGTCTTTCCACTAGACATCTCCCACTTGCTGTGACTCAGTGCTGTGGGGGGTTTGACGGACAGCCAGGATGTCCACCGCAACTGTTCGTCAACGGTGGATCTTCAGAGTCCTTAGCGCGAAGTTCAGCTCTCAAATCTCTCACCGCGTTGATATACCAGAGAGCAGGAAAACCCAAATTAAATCTACACACAAGGATAATGTCTAAAAATGCAAACTCCAGAGAAAGTTTCTCGTGTCTGCGTCCCTTGGTGTCACTAGCCCTTTCTGCACCCCACAGGACCTTACCTCTGGCCCCTCTTCCCCCACAGGGCATGCTGCTGAAGCGAAGTGGCAAGTCGCTGAACAAAGAGTGGAAAAAGAAGTACGTCACCCTGTGCGACAACGGCGTGCTGACCTACCACCCCAGTTTACATGTGAGTACAGCTCCGCGGAGCAGTTAGCGCTACCCAGGGACCTGGACATGGGACAGAGCATGGGGCCAGGGCCCGCCCTCTGCCTCCGTGTGAAGAGGACAGTGGTATTAGGTCCCCTGAGGTGTCTAGAATGCAGTAAGTTCCTCGGGCTCCTTTAGCCCAGGTGTCTTGCTCTCCTGCCCCCTTCACCTGTTAATCTCGGACTCCCCATTCTGGAGTGGGTTACAGTGCCAGGTGCGTAGGAAGTCGAGCTTCAGATGGGAGTGGCAAGGTGGGGCAAGCCGTGAGAAGCCACGGGAGTGTCTGAAGACCTGAGCTACAACAGCGGAATTGACCCCGGGGCCCAGCTCTGAGCAGCTAAGAACAAAGCCGGGCCTAGGTGTGGTTTGCCACGGTTTTCCTGCCGAGGTAAAGCACAGCCACCAGCTCAGAAAGCGGGGAAACTGCTTCTCCACAGGATGTCACCTTCCCTTCGAGATGTCCGTAAGATTGTGAAAGCAGACTCAGTGTTGTTCTGACCGGAATCTGGTCATTCTGTCCACAGTGAGCGCCTTTAAGGCGGACTGTCCACTTTGGTTCCATGAGCTCCTGCAGAGGTTTAGAATTAAAACCCACACCACTAATCATTGGGTTTTACCACTCTTACCAAGCTGTTACCTTTTTAAAAACTGAAATACTTTGAAATTGCAGTTGTTAACAAAACGTTAAAAATACACATACTGAGCAGAAGTCGAAAGCACTCCATGTGATTGTGAATTCTGCGAGTGTGGATGCCTGTGTCTGCGTGCATGTGGCCTTGGTGCTTCCACAGACACAGCACATCCCACAGCCTGCTCACCTCACTAATGACAGGTCCCATGCGTTTCTCCATGACTGCAAATGCATGGGACCATTTTGATGTTTATATAGTATTCCACTATCCCACTGCATGAGTGCTTCAGCAGTATCTCAGAACAAAACAAAAACAAGACATTTGACACCCCCTCCCCATTATTATAAGTAACTCTGAATGGGCTTTCTCCTGATATCTGTGTCTTTGTCTGTTTCCCTAAGACTCCCAGCCATCAGTTTTCAGAGCTGTAAGGTCTCCATGACGTTACTGGCTTGAGCATCCATTGTCAGATTCCTAGGACCCATATGAACATTTGTCTCCCTAAAGAACCTCTGGTGAGGGGCCTTCCCCTGCAACACTCAAGAACACTCACCTCTTAAAAAAACATTTTCCCCGGCATGCCTGGTGACACATAGAGTCCTCCTGGGGATTGTTGCTGGTGTGACTCCCCCTTGGCCTAGGGCAGTAGCTGTACCTTTCAGAACCACGCTAGAAAGCACCTGCTTCCGTCCGGATCCCTGGCTGCCTCGTAGTGCTAATGAGAGTGCCCGCCACGCCTGGCTGTCAGTCTGCAGGCAGCGTCTGACTTGCAGCGATCCCATGCCAGATGTTTGGCTGGACAGCAGGGCGAAAGCATTCCCACACAGCCATCTTGTCACACCCCCTACCATAGTCAGCAGAGCGATGAAGGTAGTCAACATGTGACCGTCAAACAGACCCTGTCTCAGATGGATTTGCCTAAGTGCAGGCTGGTGCAAGCAGGTCCTGCCCAGGACTGAGGTAGGTTAGACTAAGATGGACATCCCATAGAATGAGGACTTGAGTGAGTCCCCCACTTGTGGTGTTTTCAGTGTGACAATGGATATATTGATATGTAGCCTCACCCTAAGGGATATGTGTGCATGTGCACATCTGTGTTTGCAAGGTACATATGATAGATGTCTTCGTAGGGTCTTGTATATTCTAAAGGTATAGGTGTATTCGTGTGTAGAGAGATGTTCTTGGTTAGATGAAACATTGTGTGGCTCTATGTCTAGCTTACCTTGGATATAGATTTGGTTCTCCAGATGGCCTTGATGGCAGAAGGATGGAATGCCTGTTTCTGGAGACCCACCTGGGACAGGGCCCATGCCTTTTCCAGAACTGCCCTGCTGAATGCCTGTTTCTGGAGACCCACGTAGGACAGGGCC